TCCCCACCGTGCACCCACGGTCTCCCCGCGCAGGCCCGGAGGACCAGCCCGGTGCCTACCTGGTGTCGTCCGCCACATTCCTGACGAACAGAGACGTGTTCGGGGGACGCAAGTAGCGCGACATGCCGGCGGCGTGAAGTCTCGGCCGGGCGCACTAACGGGCTGAGAGAAACCGTCCGCAGCTCCGGCGGCGGCGGCTCCTAGGACGCACACAGCCAGAGGGCTCCTCTAAGGCAACCGCCTCTTCTCGCGAGACTTCACTCCCGCCTCCACTCTCTCCCACCCCCCACCCGCAGCCTCCTCCCCGCCCCTTATATGTCTGTACACCGCCGGCAACGGCTCTTTCCCGCGAGAGCGCCAGCCGCGCGCCTGCGCACATCGAGGACTGGAGCGCGCGCGGCTGCCCGGATCCCATTCATTGGCTTCCCGCACGGCCTGCTTCCCCCGCCCCCAACTTGGTTCTTTCTTTCTTTAGCGCTTCATTTTCCCGCCCTTTTCTGCCTGGCACACGCCCCCCTCCCCAAATCTAGGAGCGGATGTCTTACCCCTGCGCTGAGCTTGGCCTGGCCCGCGGGGTGGACCACCGGCCCTAAAGTTCCCTGTGTGGTCCAAGGACGCCGAGGTTTCTGCTGTGCCCGACCAGCGAGAGAAGAATGCATGGTCTGTGCTGAGAGCAACATGGAAGGGGTACAGGAAGCTGGGCCTGGCTCTCCAATACGTTTAGCCTTGGCTGTGCACGGGCCGTGGGGTGAGGGAAGGCTCATTCCCTGGGGCTTTGTCCCTTGGCCTCTCGCCCGCATCCTTCGACCTCTCCACCTGTCCGTCCCATTCAGGTAGTCTCCAGATCAAAGGCTACGACCAAACACCGCATTTTAGTGTCTCTATTATGTATTTGTTGCTAAGGACTTAATGGATATTTAGAGACTCTCAGATTTATTGTTTGCAGACGCCTTTACGATTAATAAATTGTGGAAGACTCCAAAGAGGGTGGATTTTTTTGTTTGTTTTTGTTACAGGTGGTGCTGGAACCCAGGGCCTTGGGCATGCTAAGCAAAGGCTGTACCACAGCCTTTTAAAATGTGATTTATGTATTAATATTTACTGCATTAGGACTTACAGTGGAGAAAATTGAAACACAGTAATACACAAGCACACATTCCACTACTTTCCATCAAATGCCCTATCATTCAGCGTCTGGACACCCAGGATGAGCATTGGAGGGAAAACGTTTCCACTGAGATTCCTCTTGGTAAATCCTGAATGCTCATCCATGTTAAGAAAAAGGAAATGCTGAATTTAGTTATTGTTTTGGTCAAAACATTTTTTTTTTTTTGTCGGTCATGGGGCTTGAATTCTGAGCCTGAGTGCTGTCCCTCAGCTCTTCAGCTCAAGGCTAGTGCTCTAACACTTGAGCCACAGTGCCACTTCTGGCTTTCTGCGTGATTTCTGAAAGATAAGATTCTCATGGACTTTTCCTGCCTGGGCTGGCTTTGAATCATGATCCTCAAATCTCAGCCTCCTGAGTAGCTAGGATTATAGGCCTGAGCCACCAGCACCCCACCAAAGGACAATTTTTGGAAAGTAATTCCTAGGACTGGAGATGTGGCTTGGTGGTAGAGTGCTTGCCTAACATGTATGAAGCCCTTGTTTCGATTCCTCAGTACCACATAAACAGAAAAAGCCAGAAGTGGTGCTGTGGCTCAAGTGGTAGAGTGCTAGCCTTGGGTACAGAGAGGCTCAGGGACAGTGCCCAGGCCCTGAGTTTAGTCCCCAGGATTGGCAAAAAAGAAAAGAAAGTGAATCCTAATCCCCAGGTCCCATTAGATAATGATTAGTATAGTTTTCATCTTGGAGGATACCTCCCCCACCCCACACACACATTAGACTGTCTCCTGGACGTCTGCAAGACCAAGTACTATTTAATCAAATGAGCTTTTGTTTTATGAAAAGTTTATAGGAGCTTTTTTTTTTTTTTTTTGTTAGTCGTGAACTCTGGGCCTGGGCACTGTCCCTCAGCTCTTCAGCTCAGGGCTAGCTCTCTACCTCTTGAGCCAGAGCACCACTTCTGGTTTTCTGAGTGGTTTATTGGAGATAAGAGTCTCATGGACTTTCCTGCCTAGGCTGGCTTTCAACCAGGATCCTCAGATCTCAGCCTCCTGAGTAGTTGGGGTTACAGGCGTTAGCCACCAGCACCCCACTCCTACTTTTCTTTATGTAAAGTTTCCTTGGAAGCTTAGTTTACTAAAATATTTATTGACTATCTAACATACGCCAATCATGGTGGTGTTAGATGCTGTCAATTTAGCAATATACAACTTGTATATTGCTACTAAAGTAGTTACAGATTATGATATAAAAGAGTAATGCCATGGGGTTGCTCTTGTTCCTTTCTGTTGTTGAGTACTAAAAGAGAGGGTTGTCCAGGAATGTCACTGGATCCAGAATGTGGGCGTCCCTTTAGCTTATGAGTTTCTGCAAAATAAATAAATAAATATCACAGGTACTAGAGATTCACCAGTGGAAAGAAGTTCAAGGTGTCATACAAAAAGGAGAGAAGGTGGCTCAGTGGTAGAGTGCTTACTTTGCATCCATGAGGCCCTGGAGTTCAATTCCTCAGCACCACATAAGCAGAAAAAGCGGGAAGTGGGGCTGAGTCTCAAGTGGTAGAGCGCTAGCCTTCAGCTGAATTGCTGAGGGACAGCGCCCAGGCCTAGAGTTCAAGCCCCACAACCACCACCACCACTACCAACAACAACAAAAGAGAGACTTTCCTGCCAGAGCTGGCTTTGAGCTAAATCTCCTCAGCTAGGATTATAGGCATGAGCCACTGGCACCTAGCCTGAGAATAAATTCTTAGCAAGGAATTTATTTACGTATCATTAAAGAATCAATCAGTAAATTTGTCTTTATTATTATTATTACTTTCTTATTTTTGTGGGACTGGGGTTTGAACCCTGTGCCTTGTGTTTGGTAGGTACCACTTGAACCACAACTCCAGCCCAAGTAATTTTATTTTATTAGTATAACATGACTGAAGCAGGATGGATATATAGAGAACAGGAAAATTATATATACTATGTAAACTATAAGTGTGTTTGCACATGTGTGTGTGCACGTGTACACATGCATGCCAATCCTAAGGCTTGAACTCAGGGCCTAGGTGCTGTGCCTTAGCTTTTACTGTTTCAGATTGGTGCTTTACCACTTGGTTCATAATTGAGTACCAATGGCTCACATCTGTAATCCCTAGCTACTCAGGAAGCTGAGATCTGAGGATCATAGTTTGAAGCCAGCCTGGGCAGAAAGACCCTTGTCTCCAATTTACCACAAAAAGTTGGAAGTAGAGCTGTGGCTTTAAGTGAAGAACTCCAGGCTTGAGAAAAAAAGCTAAAGGACAATGTTGAGGCTCTGAGTTCAAGTCTCAGCACTGGTGCACATGCGCATGCGCACATATACACATGCACACATATACAAATTCAAAGGCTAAATGGAATAGGTATTCAATATCTGTGTGGGGCTGGGCTCCATCCCCAGCACCCAAAGAGAATTTCAAAGTAACAGTAGAGTATTAAGTAAGCACAGAGTCTTTCTGAACTTGAAGCCTGAACCACTGAATCAGTAGCACGCCTATAAAGGAACCCTAAATGCTAGCAATTATGATTCTTACTCAGAAACCTTAAGAAATAATAATGATAAGCAAGGGACAAATATTTCCTTACTGCAAGATTTCCTGCAGGAGACAAATACTTCCTTCCTTGCTCTGAGCCTCACACACAATGTCCCTTGGCTATTTTGTGCTTTGAGATCCCAGAAATTCAGAATTGCACATATGAGTCCAAATGAAATGGTATGGAATACAGGCCTTGACCCAACTACAACTTTCTGATCCACGTTGTGGCTGGCTGGAATGAGATCTACAGTGTCCCCTCAGATTCTGTTTGATCCATCAGTGGAATTAGGAGGTCTCTGGATGAAGACCCAAACCCTTGAGCTTATCTAACGTCAGTCTTATTGGTACAACAGTTTAATTTAGACCACTGTCCAGGGTAGTGCTGGGCCCAGTGTGTCTGGGAAGACAATTCCCCGTAGTTTGTTTACTAAGACACATGCCTTATTAAATGTTACCTGTAAGTTTCTCACTCCAATGAGCAGGATATGAGCCAAGTTCGGCTCATGGAGGATTCAGAGTTCTGTTTTTGGTTTTTGGGTTTTTTTTGGGTCCGGTCGTGGGGCCTGAACTCTGGGCCTTGCCGCTGTCCCTCAGCTCTTCAGCTCAAGGCTAACACTTGAGCCACAGCCACTTCTGGCTTTTTTTTTTCTGCTTATGTGGTGCTGAGGAATCGAACCCAGGGCCTCTGGCATGCAAGGCAAGCGCTTTACCACTGAGCCACCTTCCCAGCCCCTAGATTCAGAGTCCTGTAAACATTCCTTACTCTTTGTGCACATACTTGTCCATCAACTTACCTATGTACAGTCTCCTCTTAATGCTTCTCCCTGCCCTGGGTAATTCTGCTCTCTGAGTGAATTCCTGTTTATTGCACTCCTTAGATGTTCAGTTCTAGCATGCAGATTGCTATCTTCAATCTGCTAAGGCAATCCACTTATTATATCTTATTTATTTATTTATTTATTTTTGTCGGTCGTGGGCTTGAATTCTGGGCCTGGGAGCTATCCTTGCGCTTTTTAGCTCAAGGTGAGCACTCTACCGCTTGAGCCACAGCACCACTTCCGGTTTTCTAGTGGTTAATTGGAGATCAGCGTCTCATGGACTTTTCTACCCAGGCTGGCTTTGAGCCGTGATCCTCAGATCTCAGCCTCCTGAGTAGCTAGGATTACAGGCATAAGCCACTGGCATCCAGCTTTATTTATTTGAATATCTGTGTGTGTGCATGTTGCTACCACTGAACCACAGCCCAGCCTTTTGATATCTTCATTTTTATTACTTATAGAGATTGTATGATTGTATTTTTTTTTTCATCCTGGGGCTTGAACTCAGGACCTGGTCACTATCCCTGAGCTTCTTTTTGCTCAAAGCTAGCATTCTACCACTTGAGCCACAGTGCCACTTTCGGCTTTTTCTGTTTATGTGTAACTGAGGGATTGAACCCAGGGCTTCATACATGCTAGGCAAGCACTCTACCATTAAGCCACATTCCCAGCCTGAGAATGTTCATTTTAAAGGGAAAAATAATCACCTATGATCCTACTACTCAGCACTATTTGATGTATTTCTATGCATTTG